GAATAAATGTGAAATTGTGATTCAATCAAAAACTGTTTTACAATAATTGTTACTTAAGATTGAATAGAGTTTGAAAGGTATCTAGAGTGAACCACTGTACGATTGAGGTTAACCTAGCTTTGAGGAAGGACCTCTCTCTCGCCTCAGCCCATTTCCAGGTTTAGGCTAAACTTTTACCCAAAGATTCGTGTCCTACTAGTCACACCAACTTTAAATTTCTGCTGTATTTAATCTCAAACGATGAATTACATACAATTTTTTTGGGACATAATTAAGAATGTGTTTTATGTCAAGTTTTCATCTTTTTATGCATGTAACTTTTTTTCATTGCTCCAGCACAAAGAATGTTACATATCTATAGGCATGTTCATTATGTAAAGGATCGCTTAATAACGGGTATTAAAGTTCGGGTAATAGTATTTAGGGTAGCGCAAATTTGCGTAATTAAAATTAAATCACTATCGGAATGGATAGTTCAAGTAAGTATACGGATAAAGTCGGGTTATATAAACCGAAATGCACATGTATATATATTGAGAAACAATGTATATTTCAAAATACTGTCTTTTTTGAAAAAGAGCAAAAATATCTCCTAGATTCCTTTTTTTCTAGGAGCGTTTTAAATTGTTTTTGCATAAAGAGTAAAGTGTAGTTTGGAGGAAGATGAACATAATTCTCCATTTTAAGAGAGTTATTTAATGTCGAGGAATGCATCCCGTCAATATGCTTATAGCTAACCTTTTACACCTTGATTTGGTCTAATTCAGGGTCCGTTATCAACGGTTTACTACTACTAATAGTTTCACCAAAAACGAACCAAACATTCAAGAGAATAGTTGTTGAATGAGTCTGATCAAATCAGCCGGTCCAATTCGGGACTATATTTTTCAAACATCGTTCTATTAATATCTCTCTAATAATATAGGCTTTCTAATATAACATTATTTAGCAAGAAGTGTACAAATAACAATAATTTTTTTTCACCGGAAAAGAAGAAGCGTTTCTTGACCTGTTGAACAATAGTTAGAGGAATCGCTAAGGTCTTGAAGGCAACGAGCTGGCAAAGAAGTGACCGTCTTTATCGGGATCAGACCGATATTGAGGTCAGGCAAACGACCTGGTCCGGTACTAGTACTATCCTCCGAGCAATTTGTACTTGAAATGGGTAATATTGTCATATTACATGATTCGGATACCGAAGAAGATTGATCACTAATAATATTGGTGTGCGAGGAATTGAGGTAACGTCTGGTAATGTAGTTGGTGTGATGGTAAAGACGATGATTAGTTGGGTCGATTCCCATTTTCATGAGCTTCCTCTTTAAGTAAGTTTCCCAATGGATCCTTATTTCGTTGTCCGTTCGTCCAGGCAATCTTCCCGCTATCAATGACCATCTGAAAAACGTATCACTAATTTTTTTATTATCACGTACCATTCATATTTTGATATAAGTATTATATAAACAACGTTTAATCAAGAAGAAGAGGAATGAGAACCTATTGCCAAGAAGTGCATGAAGCTTGAGGATGAGTTCGTCTTCGTCTTTTGAGAAGTTGCTTTGTTTAAGTTCTGGCTTTACGTAGTTTCTCCGTCTCACTCTACATCTTGTGGCACGTTGTAACATACCTAAAAAGATTAGGGATCAAAATTTTCACAAATTAAATTAATATTTCGTTTATCAACAACCTCTTTAGTTAGTCATGAATAATCGGTCATATGAATAGCAAAACAAAGATTGTTACACTTTTGAAAAGAAAAATGTATATGGATATGGAAAATAGTTTTACCGGAAGGCGGAGAAAGAGCACGAAGGCGGATTTTGTTCATGTCAAAGGATAAGATTGGTTGGTTCTATTGGTAGTTTGTTGATTGATTGTGAATTTTTTTTTTTTTGGGGTTAAAGATTGTGAAGTTGTTTGCGAGAAGCAATTGATACTTATATAGGATAGGATATGAATCGAGGATAGAGGTTTGACTTAGACCGGTGGTTTGAGAGAAGAGTGCATGCGTAATTAATATTGGACGATGAAAGTAGAAGACGAAGAAGAACACATTTCAAGTTTTAAACTTGTGAATTGGTCCCACGTTTATTCAACTCCAATGAACATTATTTCTGTGATGTTTTCATAGTTCGTGGAAACATAAATGTGGAAAGAGATAGCATTTAAGACGCCTTACCAATATCAATCCGAATCCTGCTCTTATCTTATCCACTTTTGTCACAAGTAGAATTACTTTTTCGTAAATATTATTGCTACGAAATTCTAAATTCAATTAAAATTGTGAACTATATACATTTTTTTTTTAAATTGTGAAAATTGTGAACTATATACATGTATTCGTTATCAATTCAAAACATAAAAAGTCACATAAGTCAATGATTAGAACCCGAGTTTAGAGATTGTAGAAGAAACAGACATATGTCTGTCTATCTATCTGTAATTGTTCCTCACGCTTTGCTGAAAAACTATACCATGAAAGTTACTGTAAAAAATTCGAAACTTTCCTGAAATTTTGTAAAGTTACGAATCTTTATAGAAAGTTTTTGTAGCAGATTTGCAAGTTTTTGTTTGTAAGTACTCATAAACTTTTGAAAATTTTATGTAAGGTATCACAAATGACATAGAACAGTGTTCATGATAGATATTTTATCCTCTATTT